CCGTTCGTTTGATCATTGTAATCATGTTTTATCCACTTCCTCGATGTAACCTGTCTAAGGTTAGAAAACGTTTGCAACAATGAGCATTCATAAAGCAAGATATATAAACAACTTTCAACAGACATTGTAGATTTGCATACAAATCTCAAACACCTCTCAAGGTTCTGCCGTGCCGAGGAAGTGTCCTTTCATCTCTTGTACTATTCCATTTGTACAGTAAAATATCTAGTATATTTTTACGAATACTTTATTCATAACAAGACGGATGAACTAGAAAGAATCAGTACTATCAACCACTATAGAACTCTCCTGCACACGTATACTCCTCGACATATACCTATGTACTTCACGTGTTTACGGTAATACCCTCATAGCATTAAATTAATAATTATTCCTAACGCACGGAAGAAATTAAACCTAATCGATTGCAAACTGTCAATGTTTACTTGAATAATGCTCCAGTTTGAATGACGCAGTCGCTCTACTGCGTAATACGACCGCAGAACAGGAAAAAAAACGTAAACAACAAAAGTGTGGCGAACGTAAGCGCGTGGTCTGCGCGGGGGAATCCAAATAGCCTTTTTTTAACACCAGTCTCTAGCGAGAAACACCTTTGTTTTGAACTCAGTCTAGTTCTTACCAATAGCCAAACGATTCTAAGTTGTTATGGTCGTTATTAATTAATTACACATCGTATATGTAATTTTACAGTTCGCATACGTAATTTTTTCCCAGAAGAGCCTTCATGATAATTTGTGCGCACAATTCATTGAGGATAATTTGTGGAGTCATTTTGTTTTTTAGTTTAAAATTTTTAAACATGGTCGTGGTGGTATTTCAATTTACAATTTGGCGTCAAACTATTAAATCGGTGGCCAATGGAGACTTGTAATAGATTTACTAACCGTTCAAAGAACTGATTCGTACACAATAACGTTACGTAGTATAACCAAAACCAACTATACTTTTGTCGTTGTAAAATTACAAAACGTTTACATTAATGAGATACACTTTCAAGTTAAATTCAGCTGCGGTGATTTCTTTCGTCTCGGGTGCGCGGCTCGAGTTTTAGAAAGTCACATCCGGCTCGAGGGACCCGCGTTTCCGCGACCGTAGCGCTAATGTTAATGTTAAGTTCTCTGCTACCATCATAACAAACGAGTATTGTTAAATAATGTTTATTACTCAAACCTTCACAAACTACATATTGATTTCTAATTTCTAATAATCCTACTACATTTCTTAAAGATTTCTTGATCTTTGAAAGTTTGAAGTTGTTGATTGGGATATGAATTTTTCATTTTAGAATTTAGATGATGTCATTTGAAATATTAACCCTGACTAATATAATGTAATAATCTAACTGCATAATCGTGATCGTTTACAACGAAGAATTTGTCATGTCCGTCGCTCTATTGAGCAGGAAGTCGTGCTGCAATGTCTTTGCCTGTATTACATTGTGCCAGTAATACTTATCCTGCTAATAAAATAACCTAGGTATTTAGTTCTAGACTTTCCTCTATTAAAAAGGCCTGGTTTGAGTAATCAATAACTTTGATAGTTCTCTTTCATCCGTACTACTATATTTTGAATGAAAATAAAGAGCGATATTATCAATACTTGTTGAAAATTATAGCTTGTTTTATAGTATAGTATAGTACGATATCGGAGTTCAATCAAAACGACGACGACAACAAATGTTAGTATATTATTGTTTTAGAAAATGTATCTATGATGAGTTTTTAATGCATGTCATTATGAACATAAATCACATCATATGATTGATATGCTTTAGAATACAAACAGGATCTTGAAAGTGTTATAATTGCGAAGCGCATTTATGTCAGAAAATCTTAAGAAGTTTAAAAGACGCTGTAAATTAGTTTTCATCGAGATACAACCTCAATCTTCAAATTCCTCTACATATGGAGTTAGAAACAAGGCGCTTTGTTACTGCATTACAATTAATTATTCAATTTATTAGTAACTTATTATTAGTTAATAATATAATCGGTCAATGTCAAACAAGTTGAGATGTTTAATAAATAATATTCAGTAATATTTTTTCTCTGTATGCAAATCAAAGACATCCTTACCGCGGCCTCTCATTTCAATTTAATTTTCCTATTTATTATGTCGTCTTCATATTTCTATATTCTATAACAATATAAGAATTACATTTGCATACATTGTTTTTCTCAAAAGATTAGTTGGTGGAATGTTTTTGTAAATTATGTGAGAAGGAAACTGCGCTTGCTTATTGCAGAAGTTCAAATTGTCAAATAACAAAAATTCGTTTTATGTAATTTACGTAGTTACATAAAGAATGCATTCGAAACTTTTTTATATGCGACATGAGTCCGCATAGAATGGTGACCGAATTCGCCGCGCGCTCGCCGGAGACGCGAGAGTGCGGGGCGACACATAATCCGTAATCAGAATTTCGATCTCGGATTCTCGGCCAAGTTGAGTGAACGCCGGTCTCGACACGGATGTTGCAATGACTAAGAATTAATTTTAGTTTTGCTGCTCGAGTAAAATCGATAACTGGTTTTAGCGCTAGAAACTCGACGGAGCGATATAGGTCCATTGAATGTTTCGCGGCGCAC